CTTGGTAATTTATTTATATTATCAGCAAAATAATCAAGCGAGTTTGGCTATTCAGCCTAATAATCAACAAATCCAAGGCCTAAAAGCCGAACTAAACCATTACCAAACTCTTTACCAAAAAAGGGTAGATAAGGACTTGGATGCCGAAAGAATTCAAAGAGAACTTCAAGTTTTAGTCAAGAAATACCAAACAAAAGAGCAAGCCGAAATCCTTTATCACACAAAAATAAATGACTTAGACCAGCAGTTAGTAAATTTAGCCAAGCAAAAGATTAGTAAACAAAAAGAAGCCCAAGCTCTCCTAAACCAGTTAGAGCAGAATTGAAAGCAAGAGCAAGCCGGTTGAAAGACTGAAAAAGCTAATTTGCTTAAAGATTGAGAAAGTGAAAAAGTAAACCAAGCTAAATCTTTAAGTGTCGAAAGAAAAAAAGTCAATGAAAAAATAGTCAGTCTAGAAAAAGTAAACCAAGCCTTATCCGAAAACTTAGCCCGCAAAGCCTTAGAAATATCAGAAAAATTTGGAGTTGAACGCGAATATAAAGAAAAATATCAGCAAACCCAAGAGCAATTAAAACAAGTTCAAGCCCAAAAAGTAAAAGAGTTAAAAGAAGCCGAAAAAACTCAGCAGTTAGAAATAAACAAAACTAAAAAATTAAGAGAAGATTACCAAAAATTGGATCAAGAAAAAGTAAAAATTAACAAGAAAAATCTAACTCTTCAAAAACAGTTAACAGAAAAAGAAGAGCAGACCAAATTAAAAATTCAAGAAGCCGCCCGTAAAGAAACCCAAATTAAACAGTTAGAAAAGCAAAAGGAAGAGTTAACCAAACAAACTGAAAACTACAAAAAAGAATTCGCCCAAAAGCAAAAAAAGTCCGAAGAGTATGAAAATCAATTAATTAAAGAACTTAAAGGATTACGAGAAAAAATTAAGGAGTTAGAAAATTCCCTTGAAGAAGATAAATCGTTGCTTATCCAATTAGTAGGCGGAGAGTCAATTAACAAAAAAGAATTAGAAAAAAACGAAGGCTTAAAGAAATTGTTTGAAAAATACGGACTAATTAAATAGAAAATTGAACAATGAGTTGGAGGAATGAACCTCCTTAAAAATAAGTTATAGAAAATAGTTATTATGTCAAAATATATTCTTGATAAAACAATTGATATTCAACCACTACTTAACATGAAAAATCTTTTACAAAGGATTTTAACCGGAGTAGAAGATGAAATGGATGAAATAGAAGGAATGGCGGCGGTTCAAGCCTTTGAAGTTAGTTATGAATTAGCTTGACATACTTGTCAAAAAGTTTTGAGATATAAAGGTGAGGAAGCTCGTTTTCCGCGGGATGTTTTCCGTTTATCGGCTGAACTAGGATTAATTAAAGATCCGGAAATTTGATTTGATTTTCTGGATAAAAGAAACGAAACTTCTCATGCTTATGATGTAGATATCTTGGAAGAAGTATTAGCATTTTTACCAGAATTTAGCAAAGAATTCAATAATTTAATCAAGAACTTACAAAAATTAAAATAATTATGCTTCAAATAGAAAATAGACATCAAAAAATGTTAAAAGGGATTTTAACTAAATACCCTTATCAATTTTATGCTTATGGCTCTCGCGTAAAAGGAACGGCTCGCCAGTTTTCTGACTTAGATATTTGTTATCAAGAAGAAATACCTCTTCGAACTATTACTGAATTAAGATGAGAATTGAAAGAATCTAACCTACCTTTTTTAGTTGAAGTAGTAAATTGAAAGAACATGCGACCTACTTTTCGAAAAATGATAAAAAAAGATTTATTCTTGATTTCTTAGGAAGCACTTAATTAACCTTGTATAAGAAAAAGATTACTTTTTACTAATAATATTTGCCCTAATCTAGCATTAAAACACCTTATTTTTGTTTTTCAATCTTAACTTTTGTTAAATACACTAAATCCTTTATTTCATTTTCTAACTGTTTTTTTTTTTTTTTTTGCTAGATTTATCTCTTGAATAAGTTTTCTGAAATGTTTACCTTGTTTAGTGCCATAGTTTAAAAAAGCACCATAAGCAACAATAATGACTACAAAAAGGAAAAGAAAAACTATGCAAGGCACTCAGTTTTGCTGATAACCAGCAATCCCCGCTGGAAATAACAACAAAAAAGCTGAAACAATACCAATTATTCAACTAACTAATACAACATATCATGGAGACTTTTTTAATTCTTCCATTTTTCTTTCTTTTACAATTATTTCAACTTCCAAATCTTTTATTTTCTCTTTCAATAATAAATACTCTAAACCATTGCTATTATTTATTTTGCTAACCATATTTAATTTTTACAACATTACCCACTAAAAAAATCATGACAAATCCTAATCAAGAAGAAGATATAGAAAATATCCCCTGAGAAGAATCCACCGAACACCGCAAAAAATTCCAAGATAAAGGTCAAACCCAACTTTTAAAAGGTTTGGTTGAAACAGTCAATGTCGGCATAAGAGGTTATAATGCCACTATTGCTAAAATTCCAGGTTGTAGCCGTTGGTCTGAAATCGACCCAAATCAATCAGTAGCAGAGTTAGCCGAAAGTGGCGGTTCATCCCTTACCGTTGGTCTCGTTGATGATGGTCTTAAATTTATTCGACGAGTAGTAATCCCTAAAATCCAAGCTGGTGGGTTTTGAACTTCTTGGGCTGCTGCTGGTATAAGTTTAGCGATAGGTTCAGTTGAATTTGCTGTCGACCACTTGAAAGACTTGATGACTAGCACAGCAATCAGTGGTCTAGCTGCCGAAGTCGGAGACCTTAAAGATGGACAAGCCAAACTCAATGCCAAAGTTGATGCACAAGGCAAACTCATGAATAAATGAATGGGAGACTTGAAAACCGAATTAGAGGGAGAACTCAAACAGCAAGGAGACAAATTTGATAAAGAATTAAAAGATTTAAACAAAAAAATTTCTGAAAACACCGGAGAAATTAAAAAAGAAGCCGAAGAAAGAAAAAAAGAAATTACTAGGGTTAAGCAAGAAATGGAAAGTCAATTCAAAGAACTTACTCAAAACTTAACCCAATTAGAATCGAAACTCACTAATACCCTCAATGATTATCGCAATGAAGTTAATAAAAAGTTCGAAGAACAAGAACAAAAAATTCTTGCTAACAAAAGAAAAATCGAAGAAGAAAAACGTAAAAGAGAAACAGAAATTAGGGAAGTCCAAGACAATATTAAACTTTCGAACACCAACTTAGAAAATTTACGCCAAGAAAAAGAGGAAATTGAAAATGAATTCATTATTTATAAATCTCAAATTAACCAACAAACCGCGGAAACTCAGCAAGCTTTTGAAGATACCCAAGCCGAATATGAACGCCGAACCAAAATAATTGAAACTCAAATCGAAGATAATCAAGAAATTATTGAGGAATTTAACGAACAACTAACTAATGTCCGAAGGGAGCAAGATTTCCAAAAAAAACAGCAAGAAGAGATAATTGAACAATTACAAGAGACCAATGATATTTTATTTACTCAACAACGCAAATTAGCCTTAGTCTCTTCGCAAATGGAAGATATTCAGGAAGAAGTTCATTTGCGAATGGATAAACTTTCTAAGGAAGTCAATCGCAAAACCGAAGAAACTTTAACCATTGCTAAGGATGCCACCAATAAAGTTGACCGGTTAACCAAAGATGTTCAGCAAATGCGGGATGACTTGGAAAACATCGAAGAGCAAGTTCAAAAGAATAAAGAAGAAACCGAAAAAATTAAACAGCAAGCCCGGCAAACTAATGAAAGATTAGATAACTTTTTCAAAACCCAAGCCCTCAGCGATTTCTCTCCGGAACAGGCTAATTTCGATAAAATTCAAAAATCCTTAGAACTTAAAGCCGAAGAAGCTAAGTTAATCGCCACTCTTAATCTTTTAAAAGAGACCAAAAACTTAGTCCATTTATCGAACAATCGAGAATGGTTAGTCGGTATTCAAAAAGGCACTGAAACCGAACTAAAAGGTTCAGAGGGGATGCTTTTAGACCCTAACTCTTCCTGAGCTAAACAATATACGCCGGAACAATTACAGGAATGAGGTTGAGATACCCGCTTGTTTGGAGAACATGAAAACTCTCAATTATTAAGTAATGAAGATGAGAAAAAAGAAAGCCGACAAGAACAACTTAAAGCCGAAGAAAAAGAGGGAGAAGAAGTCCCTGCTTCTGAACAAGCCCAGCAAGTTTTAGAAGAAGTTAATAAAGTTCAAACCGAAATCTTAAAAAAATTACAAGCCATTCAGGAAGAAATTAAAACTAATCTTCAAGAGGCAGAATCGGCTCCACCGCCTTCGGCTCCGGCACCCAAACCCTCCGCTACTACTGCCCTCCAAGTAATCCAAGCCGAAAGCAAAATTAAGATTAAGAAAAAAGCCTTAGAACGGCAAAAACAGGAAGAACAAAAAACCAAAAATAAATTAAAGCATGCCGAGCATAAGGTTCAGCAAAATCCTACTCCCGCTAATAAAAAAGCCGAACAATTAGCTCGGCAATCAGTTCAAACCGAAGAAAAAGAAACTAAAAAAGTTGAAAAAGAACTGACCCAAGCCCAAGAGGAATTATCCAGTTTAAAAAATAAGCAAGAATTTGAAGAATTATTAGAAAATAAAGAAAAGGAAATAGAAGAAAGAGAAGCTGTCGAAGTAAAAGAACAATGACAACAAATTCAAGCCTTATCCCAACAAGCCCTCCAAGAAAATAAAGAAGAAGAAAAAAATCCCCAAGAGACCAAGGAAGAAGATTTAGAAAAAAAATTGGAAGAACTAGTTCAACAATTAAAGGAAATGGAGCAGTCAGCTGCCGCCAGTCAAAAAACCATGACCATGTTTATGCTGTTCCTGATTGTCTTCCTCTTAGAATATGTAGTTTATAAAAGAAATGGTTTGCCGGGATTGGTAGTTTTAAATGTTATTCTCGGTATTGCTTACTATTACCGCGACACCTTAAAAGAATATTCTGAACTCTGAGGCAAATATTTATTAATCATTGGCTACATAATGGGAAATGCCTTGGCTTATTCGGCTCCCGAACAAAAAAAATATAAATGACCTGCGGTAATTGGTTTTAATCTTTGCATCGCTGGGATTTATGCTTACACTTTATACCAAGATAAGAAAAAGCGAGCCGAAAGAGAGGTTTTTTTATTGAAACAACAAAAGGAATTATTAAAAGAAGTTGATTTTAGCGAAGCCGACCAAGCAAAAATAACAGAAAGCATGAACCGAATAACTAAGGAACAGACTACCGAAATATTTGGTTATACTAACCCTTTTAATAGCAATATTTCTACTTCGCAAAAAGCCGAGTGTTTTGGTCATTTAGTTCAACAGCAAATATTAGAAAAAGAGCAAATTGCTAAAAAAGAAGCCGAAATGACCCACCAAGCCGAAACTCTCCAAAAAGCAGCCGAGATGGAACAACAATTAAAAGGTAATTTAGAACAAATCAAAGAAGATTTACCCGACTCTCCTTTGGCTAACTGAAATAAAATGTATCTTCAAAAAGAACGAGATTTTCAGAATAAAACTCCAAAATTTTTAAAAAGTTGGGGGAGACAAAGACTTTATGAAGCCTATCCCGAACTTGAAAATCATCCGGTTAATTTAGTCCTATTAGAAGAATTTAAAAAAGTGGATGAATTAGTTAAAAAGCCTATTGAAAGCCAAAATCTCAACCATAGATTAGATAAATTACCAATTCCGAGCGAAACAGAACAAACCCTTTTGTCTCACTTAAATCTAAGTTTAGACCAATATATCGCTATTTCTTTAAAAACTCCTTATTTAAGCCCTGCTGAACAAGAATTAATAACTGATAACTATCTAACCTTTGATATTCAGCAGAAATTACAGTTATTAAGTAGCGGATTAAATAATTTAGGTATTGACACCTTGGGGAAAAAAGAAAAATTAGTGGAATTGATGATTAATTTGAGAGATGAAAAACAACTCTTTGGCTTATCTATTAAAGAAAAGGAAAATATTCTCCGTTTTCTCAGCACTACCCTCAATCTCAGTGAAGAGCAAAGAGATTATTTGGAAAGAATGGGAATTAGTTTTTTTAATGCTAGCGAATGAGAAATTACTACCGAACAAAAAGAACATTTATTAGATTTCGGTTTAAATAAATTGGAATTAACCGAAGAACAGCAAGCAACATTAACAGAGATGCATCCGGAAAGACTTGGTTTAACCGAAGAACAAGACCGAGCCATTGCCAAGAATAACAATTACCAGAACTTTAAAATTTTTTCTTTAACCGGTCAGCAAAAGAATACTCTTAATTCCCTAGCCCCTCTAATTAGAGAAGATAAATATTCCGAAGCCAGTTTGCAATTGGTTAAATCACTCCATTTGAAACCTACTAGTCAAACTTTCTTAATCCAAACCCAAATAATTCCTGACCTTCACACTGCTTTTGGGGAAAATAAAAGTAGTTATTTACCTTTAAAACAAAAGTGATTAGCCGGGGAGCAGAAAATATTACGGGCTAAATTAGAACAAAGCCAACAAAAACTTAGTGAAGAACAAAGACAAAAAGCCAAATTATCTATTTTGCATTCTTTATTGAATATAATTAATAGATATTACATATTACGAAGTTTAAATTATACCTTAGATGAATGAGTAGCAAAAAAGCATTTGTTTGATTGACAAAGAGATATTCTCTTAACTTGTGGTTTTAAAACTGTCCCTAAATATAACTTTTTTGAATTGTTAATTTTTTGCATAGAAAGATTTACTGAAAGCACCTGAACCGAATTTTTGAGTGGTAATAAAGAGTTAGCCGAAGAGTTCGAAAAATATTTAACTAGTTTAAGTAAGCAATCCATAAATATCAATGAAACCGTTTGAGAAAAATTTGCTACTTCCCAAACTTCTCCCCAAAAAGAAGTAACACGAAATTTAAATTTAAAAGAATTAATCGAAAAGCAAATTAACCAAGCCTTAGGAAATTGAAAACCGCCAGCAAAAGAAATAACCGAGCAAAATTGAAACAGCATTAGTCTAGATTTTACCCCTCATTTAGTCCAAGCCTGAAAAGAAAAAGGATTTGCTTATGAAACCGTTAAGGAATGAATTGATATTGGCTTAAAGGCTGATGAGGCTGAATTTGCTACTTGATTAAGAGACATAGCCCAGTTAACTCCGGAAGAAGTGCTAAATAGCAATTCCCAAGAATTAAGGGGACAGTTTGCTGAGTGAAAGAAAAATAAACTGGAACCTAAAACTACTTCCCGCTATGAAAATCTTTTTGCTAATCTAAACCAAGAAGAAGCCGCCCGTCAGCAAAAGAAATTAGAAAGGGAAGCAGCCAAGAAAAAGTTGGAAGAAACTGAACGAAAAAGAAGAGAAAAAGCCTTAACTGATAAGGATAGAAAATTAAAAGAAGATGAAGAGCGGAAGAAAAAGGAGCGGGAGTTAGCCGAATTAGAAGAAAAAAAACGACGAGAAGCCGAAACTGCCCGAGCCAAAGCCTTACAAGCCGAACAAGAAACCTTATTTAAGAAAAAAATGGCTAATATTGAAGAGACTAAAAAAAGAACCGAGGAAGCTTTGGCTAATCAGATAAAGCAGAATGAAATAGAAGAAAAGAAAAAGCGGGATGAAATTGAGAAAATGGAAAAAGAGAACCAAGCCGAGCAAACTAGATTAACTAATCAAGCTAAATTAATCGAAGAAGAAAAAATAAGAAAACTAGCCTCTATCGCTTTGGAAGAAACAGAAGAAAGACAGAGAATTGAAAAACTGGCTAACGATGAAAAAGCTCGAATTGAACAAGAAGCCGCAGATGCTAGATTAAAAAATAAAAAAGAATTAGAAGAAAAAGAAAGAAAATTGCTTGAAGAAAGGAAAAAAAGAGAAAACGAAATTAAAAATATGAAAGAGGCGGCAAGAATATCCGAAGAACATGCTAATAATATGCAATCCATATTCGAGCAAGAAACTAAAACTCGAGAAGAATTGGAAAAAAAACGCCGAAAAGAACTAGAAATCAGTATGAAATCTAGTGATGCTGAACGAAAAAGCAGAAACAAACGGGAAGCAAATGCCGAAAGAGCACTTACCAGCATTTATTATTATCCGATGCTGAAAGAAGAATGAGATAGGGTAATCATTAGCGGTCATAGCCACTTCGATAAGTGTCCGACTGTGAAACAAGGATTTGAAAAATATCCCTATCTTAAAATTAACCCTAGTTTATTTCAATTTGATTCGGGCAAATGGGTGAAAGGCAATAGTAACGAAATCTGAACTTATTTTCTAGCAAATGACCTAAGAAAAGCAGTTGCTCTCTGCGGAAACAATTATTTTTCAAAAAGAGAGTTAGAAAATCATATTAAAGAAAATGTTCCGGAAGAATTTTAAACTTCCTTTCATAATTATGTTTTAAGTTTAGGTGATTATATACGAGTTTAAACTACTTTCCTTTTCTACTCCTTTTCCGAGGTGGAGTGTTTAACAAAACTTTCGC